TCCTGCGTCTGATTTTTCCGATCTATACATGATAAACAATGGGGTACTGACAGCTTAGATTGGAGAAGGCTGTAAAGACAGCCATAAAAAGACTGAAGTAACAGAAGGTACTGTAATGTTCGGCAACAGATTAATCTTCATAATGATATATTTAGCCAGCATTGTTGGGTGGAGGAACGGGACAAGGCAAGAAAACAGAGTTATGGATTTCAAGCATCTACAACAGAGAAGAAAAGTGGCCTTTATTGATCATGCAAAATTCATGAAAGTATACACAGATATTCAAATCAGTATTTTATTAGGCAATACAGTCATTTTAAAGTAAACAGTAAAAATGCTATCGTCTTAGGGGACCATTGGGCTGCTCTCTCATTAGAGTGAAGACTGGAGGTGAGTTTAACCTGAGGGTCACCACGCCTCAGGTAAGGGGTAATGTTGAGAAGGTCGAACCTTCATGGTAACCTCAGTTAATGTGGAGAATTGAACCAGCTAACTGAGCTAACAGACATCCATTTGAAAGCAGAAATATTGAGAAGGTATTGTCTCAACTATAGACCAGCATTTTGGAGAGAAATTGCATCATGCACATCAAATGGTGAATTTATGCAAAGAATTACAAAAGTAGTCATAAATTCTAGAAAAAATCCATTGCTCAATCAATAAAGGTTTAATATATACATTTGTCTGACAGCGCTCATGGGGACTATTAGTAGCTCAATACCAAGTTCAATATGTGACAATAAAGGAGATTCTATTCTAGTCTCATTTTAGGGCCTGAGCATCTTCTTCCATGTCCTTCCCCCAATCCAGGTCTTGTCATCACATGGGATGCTACCACATACTACCTGTTGTCAGCCACTAATGCTCCTCATTAGCAGTTGTTGATTCACCCAGGCTGACCTTTGCACATTCCTTTGTCTGCCCATCTGCTGTTCTCTCTCTCAGCTCCAGCACCACCTATCATTTACTTCTTCCCCCCACCTACCTTCAGCATACAGACCAAGCTTTTCCTAGCTACAGTCAGTTCTGAAGAAAGGTCACTGGATCCGAAATGTTAACTCTGATTTTTCTCTCCACAGATGCTGCCAGACATGCCAAGTTTCTCCAGTAATTCCTGTTTTTGTTTCATTAAATTATTGTCAATTGACATAATACAAACTAACCTGTCTCACTAATACCCTTTGGGGAAGCAGATTTGCCATCTTTACCTGAGTGAACCAACACAGTTGACTCTTAACCGCACTTTTATATGGTCTAGCAAGGTACTCAGTTCCACAGCAATTAATTTTTTTTTCTTATTCATTCACGGGATGAGGGCGTCACTGGCCAGGGCAGCATTTATTGCCCATCCCTAATTGCCCAGAGGGCAGTTAAGAATCAACCACATTGCTGTGGGTCTGGGGCCAGACCAGGTAAGGATGGCAGTTTCCTTCCCTGAAGGACATTAATGAACCAGATGGGTTTTCCCCCAACAATCAATAATGGATTCACGATCATTGCTAAATTCTTAACTCCAGATATTTATTGAATTCAAATTCCACCATCTGCCATGGTGGGATTCGAACCTGGGTCCTCAGAACATTATCTGCATCTCTGGATTAACAGTCCAGCGATAATACCAGTAGGCCATATGTGATGGGCAACAAATACTGGCCTTGCAATGTAGACATCCCACGAAAGAATAAATAGATTTTTACTAGAGTATATTATGGTATATTCCTGTTGGTCGTGCTCCAATAAACACAACATTCAATAAACGGGTTTGCGGTTACATGGGGGAAAAGTGATGGACTACCCACAATACCACACACCAACCAAAGTAGTTACGAGTTTCAATTTTTCTAAAAACACACTGATGTTTGTGTCAAGAGCAGCGACATGCTTTTTTAAACATGGTATCTGTAGTAGATTTCAACTCCCCTGGTTATAGGAGTGATGCCAGAGGACTGGAAGACTGCCAATGTTGTACAGTTTTAAAAAGGAGGAAGGACTCAGAGTAATTGTAGGCCAGTGAGCTTGACTCTCATTGTGAGGCATCAATGCTAAGGCATAGTGTAAAACTTCCTTTAGAAAGGCACAGATAAAATCAGGGAAAGTCAACACAGATTTCCTAAAGACAGGTGACATCTGACTAACTGGATTTGTTTTTCGGATGTGTACATCTGTATTGGTGAGGGCAGTGCAGTGGATGTGATCAACATAGATTTTAGTAACGCCTTTGACAAGGTTCCACAAGGCTGAGATTTAAGGGAGAATGGGAATTTGGATCCAAATTGGGCTTAGGTTCAGGAACATAGCAGCAGGAGAAGGCCATTCAGTCCCTTGAGTCTGCTCCACTATTTTAGATCATGGCTGATCACCTAACTCAACTCGACTCCCACACTATCCCGTATCCCTGGATCCCGTCAGTAACTGAAAATCTACTATTCCTGCTTTGAAACTGATTGAGCTTCCACAACCCTCTGCAAAAGAGAACTCCAACGATACACCACCTTCTGAGTGAAGAGCTTCCTTCTTATCTCTGTTGTAAACGTTTTTACCTTTTGTGGAGAGCACGGCACCCTGGATCACAGGGAGAAGAAATATCCTTCAAGTCTACGGTCAACCCCTTTAAGAATGTTGTAGGCTTCTAGGAGGTTGTCCCTCACTCGTCTGAATGCCAGAGAATACAGGCCTCAAGGGACAGTTCCACCATCTCAGGAATCAGATTGTGAGCCTCTACTACACTGCCTCTAATGACAAGTATATGTTTCCTTTGGTAAGAACAGAACTGCACACAACACTTTAGATGCGATCTCACCAGTGTTCTACGCAATTAAAGCAAGGCCTATTTGCTCCTGTACTCAAATCCTCTTGCAATAAAGGCTATCACACAGTTTGCCTTCCTTATGGCTTGCTGCAAATTTACAAATAGTTGATAGGTTTTTTTTGCTACAATGATCTGTTAAGAACAGGTGCCATTGGGCTCAATACTCAGTTCCTTGTTTTTTGTGCAGGTTGTATCCCTGCAATCTACCAGCCTCAGCCTTTGCCAGAGCAGCCAATTTGCTGGACCGTGAGAGAGAGAGAGGTCAATGTGTCCAATTCACTCATCTCCTGGTCTTCTGGCCTATGTAGTCCACTCACACTGAGACTGACACTCAGCATGTGGCCTGAGCTTTGCTTGTAACCAGCAGTAAGACCAATTGGTGACTAGGTTTCTTTATAAAATGAGCTTCAAAACTGAAAATGTAGGGAATGAGACAGGGAGATGCCATAAACATGAAGTACTGTGGTTGGCAGACTACAATTGGTGCTGGACCGCAGAGAGCTGGATAAGAGCGTAAAGCTGTAGTTTAGATTAATAATTTAGATGTGAATACAGGGCCATGGTAAAAGAAGTGTGTGGATAAAAATGTGGTTGACAGTGAAGAGGACAGTTTTAGACTTCAAGAAAATAAAAAAAAGGTTCCATCAGGTTAGAAGAAGAATGAAAAAATGGATTTCAGTCTGAAGAAGTGAGAGATAATGCATTTTCGCTAGTACAACAAGGCTAGAAAATATGGTACAAAATGGGAGAATACGGAATAATGTAGGGGAATAGAGGGACCTTGGATTTTATGACTACAGATCGTTAAGGATAGGACAGGGAAACAGGCAGTTAAGACAGTATATGGTATCTTTTTCTCTTTTTTTACTGAATAAGGTGTGATTGTTAAACCAAAGTCTTAGCACTGAACTTATAGAGAAAAGGTAAAAAAGAATGTTTGTTAGCTGAGGGACAGCATATAAGACAAGGGAAGTTAGGCTAGAAGTGTATATAACAACAGTTAAACCACAGTTCGAGTTCCATCTATAGTCCTGGTCACCATATTACAGGAAAACCACGACTGCACTGGAGAGGGTGAGAGGAGATTTCTGAGGATGTTGCCCAATTGAAATGTTTTAGCAAATGCAAAAGATGTGATAAGATGGCTTTGTTTTCCTTGAATGGAGGAAACGGAGGAGTGTCTTAATTGATCTCCATAAAATAATGATGGCCTTTAGATACAGTAAATAAACAAACAATCTATTTATCTTAGCAGAGGGATCAAAAACCAAAAGGGCATTGATGCAATTTGTAGAAGCACCAAAGGAGGGATGAGGTAACATCCTGTAATGCAGAATGTGATAGCTACCCAACGCCACTATCTGAAAAAGTGGTAGAGACTGAAATTTACACCACATTTCAAAAGCACTTGAATGTCCACCCGAAGGTCTGTGACCTGTACGACCCCAGATTTAATGTAGGAAGGCAACATGTGGCTTGGGAGGCTTCCCTTGACTGGCACAGATATGATAGGCTGAATAGCCTCCTACCATGCAGTAGATTTTCTAATATTCTATCAGAACTGACCTGGTGAAGTTACAATGCAGGACCATGCGCATATTACACAGCTGTCATAGCATGTCACAGCAGAGCTAAGCAATTGCACAAGCAAAAACTCAGATCAAAGCTCTACAGCCCTGTCCCATCTTGGTGGTGAGCAATTAAACAGAGAAGGAAGCAGTGGGTCCACAAAATTCTTCATCCTCAATAATGGGAGCCCAACGTGTCACTGCACAAGGTTGGAGCACTTGTACTCATCTTCAGCCAATAGTATCAAACGTGGGTGACCTATTTCAGCCTTCTTCTGAATTCTTCTCCACCTCAAGCCCCATCCTTCAGCCAATTCAATTCACTCCATGTGATATTAAGAAATAGCTGAATGCCAGTCGAATACATGGCAAGAACAGATCAGAGGTTGGAAATTCTGAAGCAAGCATCTCTCCTGCTGACTTTTCGAAGCCTGTCCACCATCTCCAAAGTACTAGTTAGGAATGTGGTGGAATACTCTCCACATGTTGGAGCTGCACTCACCCAACACCCAGTAATCTATGCAGGATAACCTGCTTGACCAATCCATTCACCACCTTAAATGTTTGTTACTCTCACCATTGCATAATAACAAGAGTTTGTACCATTTACAAAATGCACTGGAGCGACTCACTAATCGCTCCTTTGACACTACCTTCTGAACCACTGGCTTCTACCACTTACAATAGAAGAACAAAGGTAGAGATGGCTGGAAGTTCTTCTCCAAATCCCTCCACATTCTGACATGGAACTATAATTGCCACTCCTTCATTGTTGCTAAGTCAGAAAACTGGAACTCCTTAGCTAATAGCATCAGATCACATGGACTCCAGCAGTTCAAGAAGACAGCATAATTAGCAACAGTCAATAAATGATCGCTATACCATCAACAAGTAAGAAATGGTTAGCTGCCGAATGGAATAAATGGGAAAGCTATGGATGCAACTTACCCTAAAGTCCCCTGCTGTAATATTTTGTAGAGCCCCCAAGGCAGCTTCAGTGGTTTGCTGGTTGGCCTCGCTCTTGTCTAGGAGCCCGATGTACACTGTGACGATAGCTGGATTCCACAGCCACTCGATTCCTTTGGGATCTTTTGTAACTTCTGAAAATATTGCCGACTCTGTATTGATCTAAGAAAACAAGATTACATTGTAACTGGGGGCAGGTTTCAGTTTAATACTTAGCTCTTTTTTTTAAAACCATAGCAGTAAAACTTGGCAGAAGTTACTCTTGGGGACAAAAAAAAACTCTCTGCTTACATTACAGAAATAAAACTGTTGAGGCTTTAAATGTACGACAGCCTCCTGCTCATATTGTCTAGATGATTCCAGGTTCTTATCGTGTGCCATGTGTAACAAAAATGGTTTTCGATAAACTGGTTAGTATTTGGTGTACGGTGTAGCAACTGAAAAGACTGCAACATATAACCCTCCACCCTCAACCTCTCCACCCCCACTCCAACTTCTCTGCCATCATCACGTTCTGTGGGAAGCAAACATTTCTGACGGAGAATGTAATGAATTATATTTTAGTGAAGGACGGCGTACACCAGGACAACATTCGTTGACCGCCACGGTACAGAAAATACAATTCCCTCACCTCTTTCACCTTCCTACTCTGAGGAGTGAAACATCCCACAACATCACCTTTCTTCACACTTCTGTTATTCCTGCCAGGGCCTTCCAATCGGTTCTGATAAAAAGATGGCATTTCTTCGTACAGCCGGTAGGACAAGTTGCGCAGGACACAGGCTGAATTCTCCACGCTCTATTGAGATGGAAGAGAAACAGCCGAAATTTTAAATCAATTGGATTTATGTCTATCTAGTGATATTTGCTAAACGACAAATGGAATTTACTATGAAGGCCTGAAAACAATGCTGCCTGTTGTATAGTTAACATCTGCTCTTTCTCAGCTCCTCAACTAGTTATCTATGTTTACAAATGGAGGGAAAGGTCTTCCATAATATTATTTAGTTCCCTGGCTGAAGGCAATCACTGTCTTCCAGACAGAACTGAAATTCTTTTAGTCTGTAACTCCATTAGGTGCCTCTCTCATAATGAGGCAAGTCCCTGGTCATTATCATCATCTTCATTGAGTGACAGCAAGAAATTCAGCCAAGAGATTTCACCCAGGGAAATGACACTGACCACCACCTTCAAACCCCCAATTACATACACATGTCATGCAGCTGGACTTCCAATCTTAGTTGGTTTCTAATGAATTGGATCATCAATAGATAAAGTAGATTGAATGCAAACATGTCTCCCTTCAAGCTAATCTATGTAGGACGACATGCTATATTCCTATTTCTTGTGATGAGCCCAGGCTAGTGATAGGGTAACTGTCCATTTCCATAATCCTCTTCTAAGCGAGCATATTGTCTTCCTAAAAACTCCAAATAAATTCTATCACTTACAATTTGGGTATAACCAGAACATAGTGCAATGTTAAATGCTAGTTGTGCAACTTGAAGGAATGAAAACCATATGTATTTTTTAAAAGTTAAAAGTACCTTCAAAGCATGGATAGGGTGGATACTTGGAGCCTCTTTCCCAGGGTGGAAATGTCAAATACGAGGGGAGCATAGGTTTGAGGTGAGAGCAGTAATGTTTAAAGTAAATATGCGAGGAGGGTTTTTATTTTTAAAAACAAAGTGGAAGGTAGGTGCCTGGAACACACTGCCAGGAGGTGGCAGAAGCAGAAACATTAGCAAAGTTTAAGAGGCGTTTAGACAGACATGTGAACAGGCAGGGAATAGGGGCATATAGACCAAGTGTAGGCAGTTGGGGTTAGTTTAGAATATCACTGTGGTGGGCTGAAGGGTCTGTTCCTGTGCTGTACTGTTCTATATAAGACAAAATTACTCAAATTTATATTATTTCAGATCATTTTTCACCATGCCTTAGTGCTTGACTAGGGAGAAACTAGTTTCAATAGGAATTATGTGAAGTATCGCTTTCTCAGAAAAGTCTGCCATTTTCAACTAAGTGATCAATACAGCATGCATCATACAAGGTCAAAGCACACAGTTTTATTTTTCAACAAACTGGCATGTTATAGTTGCATAATGTTTTACAGATGGCAATTTAACAAATTAATTGATTTGGGAACTTTTAAAAAGATATTTTGGCTACAAATTCACACTCTAACAATCGAACAGTTTTGCAGCTTGGACAAAACTTACAAGTTGACAAAAAAACTAAGCTCTTCAGTTCAGACCTGTAGATATCTGCATTTCTATAAATAAAAAAAGTCACGTGATTTTTTAAACCGAGTTACTCATCAACAGTGATGTAGTTACTGATTGATACTGTAGACTGAGCAAAGGGATCAGATTCTAACTAGCTAATTATTCAAAGGATACAGTGCCTTCAGACCTGGGTTGTTTAACATGTAGAGCCCACGAGAACACTGAATAGTCACACTGGATACAGGAAACACCAAAGGCAGCTCCAGTGAATACATAATGTGTATCTTGCAGATATCTATCAACCACAATACACAGCAACCCCACAAACATAAGGAAAGGCAGAATGGAAATGCTGAAAGAGAAAACCATACGAGTCTAGTTTGTTCAATACTAATTACTGTAGCTGCACTTCACAGTATGAGACGCATTTAACTGGCTGCGGGCTGGATTTCCCCACCTCACACGTGGAAGCCTTGCCTCAAGAAAAGTAATCTGATTGGTTAGCAGCTCTGTGCCAGCAGTACCACCAGGAACAGTGGTCAACCCTGAGACTGGCATCCTGGATCAGCTAAGTGGGTTGGCAGGTGGGGAGGAGTCTCACAGGGGGTCTTACTGTCGAGGCGAAGAGATGATGAAGCACCTGCAGGGGGCAGACCTTGGGTGGGTGTCTAAGGGGGAAAAGTGGCCCTTGAGAGAAGTGCCACACCACCTCGCTGCCTAAGACTCGAGTAGGGTGATCTGCTGGGCATCTGGTCATAAACTGGGCAGGATCCAGTCATTAAGTGGCCAGTTGGAGCAAGGGCAGACGCCCCTCCCCAGGGCTCTCCTCCGTGTGTGTTGGGAGCAGATCGGGAACGGTGGCAAGTCAGCGGGAAGGCACGCCAGGAAATTTTAGAAGGCCCTCATCCCCCCAACTCCCTAGGAAACTACCTCGTGGGGAACTGTAACATTTTGCCCCATATTGTTACTCTCAATTTTCTCATCCCAGGATGCAGACAGGGATCAAAAGTAGACAAAACGCCCAATTCACAAAAATGAATTCACAGGTTTTACCCCAATTGGATGCATCTTAAAGACGGCTTCTCCCTCTGGTTAATGTATTCTTGCCCAAGTGCGAGCTAGAAGGTATCCTTACCTTGCTGGCTGCATTGTTATCGAGAGATTGCTGGATAAAGTAGACCAGAGAGTCCACTAAACCTTTACATTCCCGCATTTTCTGACGGGTGTCTTCTTTTCCTGAGCTCAGATTTCTGTACAAAACGCAAGAGGACCAATAAGAACATTGTTCACATTGAAGTGAATATTGGAGAGATAGACTGTATTGGAAAGAGACCATCAGCTGAACAATTGCTCCTTGGGAAAGGCATTATTACCACAGTATACATCCAATTACCACATGGTGAAACATTTTAAAAATCACTCAGTAGCTCATCTTCCTTATGATAATCCAGAAGTGTTTTTTGCAAAATGGTAATCTGATAGTGAAGCTATCATCTTTATTTCTCCATAGCTGTTATCAACAGAATTCCCACAATTGTTCATAGCACAGGACTGTCCATCTCAAGCCTCTTTTGATTGATTTAACATTACAATACAATCACAGTACATAGAATCCCCGTGGAAACAGGCTATTCGGCCCATCCCTCCAAAGAGCTTCCTACCCAGACCCGTCCTATCCCTGTAGCCTCACATTCCCCATGGCTCATCCACCTGTACACCATGGGGCAATTTAGCATGGCCAGTCCACCTAAGCTACACGTCTTTGGACTGTGGGAGGAAACCAGAGCACCCAGAGGAAACCCACACAGACACAGGGAGAACATGCAAACTCCACACTGACAGTTGCCCAAGTTTGGAATTGAACGTGGGTCCCTGGTGCTGTGAGGCACCAGTGCTAACCACTGTGCCACCATGCCACCACAGCATGTTGCACCCACCCCCCGACCTTATCCATTACTAAAGGTACATGAATTGGTGTCATCCTGGTTCATGCAAGTTGGCTTCAGTTATTAGACAAGTTATCAGAGAGACTCTAACCTCAATGGCAGAGAGGACAGTGAGAAGTTAATTCTGTATTGGCTATGTTTTTAACTCATTCAGCTGTTTTTCAAAGTGCTGCAGAAACTCAGGAGGTCTGGCAGCATCTGTGCAGAGAGAGTCAGGGTTAATGTTTCAGAACAGAAGTCACACCAGAATTGAAGTGTTAACTCTTTCTTTCTCCACAGACTTTCTATTTTCTATTCATTCACGGGATGCAGGCATCACTGATGAGGCAGCATTTATTGCCCATCCCTAATTGACCAGAGTCAACCACATTGCTGTGGGTCTGGAGTCACATGTAGGCCAGACCAGGTAAGGATGGCAGTTTCCTTCCCTAAGGGACATTAGTGAACCAGATGGGTTCTCCCCCCCCACCCACATCAATCGACAACGGTCGTCACTAGATTCTTAATTCCAGATATTTATTGAATTCAAATTCCACCATCTGCCATGGTGGGATTTGGACCTGGGTCCCCAGAACATTATCTGGGTCTCTGGATTAACAGTCCAGTGATAATACAACTAGGCCATCCCCAGACCTGCTGAGCCTCACCAGCACTTTTTGCTTTTATACTAGATTTTCAGCAACAACAGGGAATCAGAAGAGTGGAACTGAAAGAGACAGAATTTGTACAGTATTTAAATTTCTGACTTCTCTTGAAGTGATGTAAAAGTGTTCCCATTTAAATGATTGTGATTTACACATAAAGATTTATGCCAGCAGTGAAACTGTAATAAAATTACAGAAAATCTTCAGGCAGAAATACAAAACACGAAGCAGTACCGAATGTAGCCAGTGGTATTGTAGAAGACTTCATCCTCTGAAGCTAATGGCCGGATGCTCACACTACTACTCCAACCCGAGGATGGGGCAAGGATCTCTTCTGTGATCTTCTCTAGTGTATCTCGGGCAAGAGTGCTCTTCAGATTCTCACTGGAAGATAGATTCCACAGGATTCCTAAACAGAGACGAAAATTGAGTTCAGTGCATGAGTCCTCACAAAGTGCCTCAATTCATACCCCCTGCACTGCTATTTTCCTGCCATTTGACCATCCCCTATGTGCCACCCTGACGTCACAACTATCTCCATTGTTATCTACTATACAGCTAAGAGTCATAATGTCTGCTTAATTAGTGCCAATAACAACAGTGCCCAATCAAACAGCTTTCCAGTTTTCTGACCATTCTCCGAACATTCCAACATGGCCTGACGGTATACGTTTGCCATCGCGAGAGTCCTTCCACAAAAGGGAATGGATGTCAGGTAGGGAAAGGAGTATCGCTCAGTTAATAATGGGATGGTCCAAGAGGATACTGCACAGCGTTTTGTAATGTATGAACTAAGGTCAGTGAAATAGCCTCCCCAGTGTAAAAATATAAAGTGACAGTTGCAAAGTATGGTAGCTAAAATGGAGAAACTTTTTAACAATTTTATGAGAAGGTTGGCCCTGTTGCCTCACATTGCCAGGCACCCAGGTTCGATTCCACCTTAGGGCTGTGTGGAGTTTGCACATTCTCCCCATGTCCGCTTGGGTTTCCCCTGGGTGGTACAGTTTCCTCCCACACTCCAAACCTTGCAGGGTTACAGGGATGGGGGGAGAGGGGGGAGGGTGCGGTTCTGGGTGGGACGCTCTGCAGAGGGTCAGTGTGGACTCAATGGGCCGAACGGCCTGCTTCCACACTGTAGGGATTCTATAATGAGCATTTTTCTTCTGCGCCATAGAATCAGAACTTCAACTGTCCATTAGATAATTAAGCTAATACCTCTTTTGCAAAAAAAAAAAAGTTTTATACAGGTGAGCACGAATTGTTCAGGAATTTCTAGCCATCACAGGAAACATAAGAATTGTGAACTCAAACTTTACGAGCAGCACCTGAACCTTGATTTGATCCATGAAACCTCAGATTAAAAGTCTGATACTCTACAGAGTGAGCTACCTGGATTTGAAATCCTAGTCTTAACTCTTTTGCAGCACCTGTAACCAGTCAAGCAGACATTCGAAAAGGGCACTACCACTTCGCTAAAATCACGCAAAAAAAGCCGAAAAAGGTCAAAGGGAACTAAATAAAATGTCGTTTACAGGATTGTTAATGCATTCCCGTCCTCTCTAGTGGTCCACTGGTTACAGAAAACTGGTGGACACCACGTTCTTCCTCACCAGGGAAACCCAGTCCCTTACGTGGTGATTCAATTTACAGCTCAACCCATTAAATAGCCCAGGCTGACTTTAGACTCAAGTACTATTCTACCCCCAGATGGATCATTATAGCAAATTCAGCAATATGTAAACATAACAAAACTGACAAAATTAGACATATAGCATTGGTATCTGTTCCTGAATTGTGAATTATTAATGTTGACATTCATATCTGAAATGTGAGAATCTATAAGCGCAATATGACAGAGGAATGTTAGAAGAGGCATCAGACAACCAGTTTATACTCGAATTAATATCAAATTTAGGCCTGTGTACAACCCAGATCCCTTCAAAACATACCACACTAATATAGCTAGGTTTATGAACAAAGGTCCATTGTTGAGATTCCAATGAAACACCGCACTAATAGTGCAAGTATCTCTTCCTGCTGGGCTTCTATTATTTGTGAATTCCATTGCTAGAGTTGGTCCTATTCATGCTGTGTGGTGGATCCTAGCAGCAAGTAACTCTGCAGTAAACTACATATTTAATGCTGGAACATAGAACAGTACAAAAGGCATAGAGTTGTAGAGCATGGAAACACGCCCTTCAGTCTAACTAGTCCATGCCAACCATAATCCCAAACTAAACTAGTCCACTTCCTTTCATCTCTTGTGTTTTTGCCATCTGTCAAAGCTTTTAAGCTTAAATCAGACTCTTTAACTGTTCAGTACCTCTGCAAGTTGTCACACTTCAAGTATATATACAAATATTTATTAAAATATCATTGCACTTAGGGACCATCAGCTAAGGTTACATAGGTGCTTTAGAAATCAAGTACATAAACCACACCTTGCTGATATTATGACATTGAAGTTACCTTTCTTTTATAAACACAATAATACATGTGCACCATGAAATAACACAGGGTTTGTCCTGAACAACTCCGAGTTAGAGATTTAAAAGCAACATAGAACACAACCATTTCCAGTCAAGACCTGCCTGCTCCAAAGGTGATATCTATAATCTCTGTTCACTTCCTCATGAAATAACCACTGGGAATGTGCAATTTGTGCAATGGGCTATAAAGCAAAACACTGCACACACTGGAAGCCTGAAACAGAAATTTTAAAATGCTGGAAATACTCAGCAGATCGGGCAGTATCTGCAGGGAGGAAAAGATTTAACATTTCAGTTCAAGATGACCACATCAGAACCACAGAGTCACAAATGTGTTTAATACAGACTAATCCAGGAGTCCTAGACAGTGAATGGAGAAAAGTCACAGGAGGCAACCTTGTCACATCAGCATCATAGGACTTTTTATTTTAATATTTAAAGTTATACTGGCATCCGTACTTGCACCTCAAACATCTGTTTCTACTGACAACTTTTCCAAATGGATAAAATAAGATGTAAGATCAAAGTATCAAACCATGACCCAGTAGTCAACACGAATATGAGCAAAGTATGAATTATCCCTGAGATAGTTTGTTTTTATATTGCCACTTGTCCTATATTTCTAATACATTCCTTAGAAGATCTGAATCTATTGTGAATTGAAACCTGTATCGTTATTTCTGCAATGGAATTAAAACAATTAAAGCTCAAATGATAATGCACACACCAGAGAGTAAATGCGATAATGAAAAAGCTTGTAATAAACTAGCTGCCTTGACAGCAGAAAATATATTGAATCAAATACTAAGACATCAAATTGTAAATTAAAATGGGACTAGTGTTCATTCATAAGAATACTTGAGCCCTAAAAGAAATCAAACAGGAGTCGCGCTGCTGAAAATTGATAGTCAACTGGCAAATGGGTAAATTCCCTACCTCAGTTACTTCCAGTGGCCATTTTGAGAGGGTGCAGGACAGGGGATGGGCAGAAGGTCCACATGCTCCTATTAAAAGGCCACAGCTCAGGCCATGCTCGCTTCCCTTGATGTTAACTTTTACGACATTTACTGGGGAGGGGAGCGGGGGTTGCAGGCTTAAAACCCTCTATGACTCCACCAAGCGAGAAGTGGTAGGAACAGCCTAAAATACACAGTGAGAAGACCAGGAAGCCTCTTAACAAATAAAGCAGAGGATTTTCAGAGGTTTAAAAGGTGCCATTAGAGGGAAGTTAACATCAAGGCAAGGGAGCATGGGAGAGGCTAGAGGCAAGGGGTTAAGTTTTGGGTAGGTGTCGACTGTGATGAAGTTCCCACGATCCCTCAGAGAAGTAGAGAAAAATGACGGCTGAGGTGGGCACTTCTGCAGGCTCGTCCCACCTCAGGTCCACCGACTGAGACAACAGATTTGCCTCTGTCACAAAGTGGTTTCTTCCCCTGAGGAAGTCCCATTTGCCAACAACCTTGTGATGGGCCCCTGAAGGCTGGATTAGCCAACTCTGTCTAATTCCTTCCTCCGACATGAAAGTGGCCAACATACCAGTTGCTTTCGCAATGCTGGCTGTATAAATTGCAAGCCCCTAACCTCATTTGGGCAATTAAAGCAATTGTCCACAGTTCTCTTGTGATGTCTCAGTAGGCAAGAAGCATGCAGAGTAGCAACAAGCCCAGGAGGTTGAAAATGACGAACTCCGATCCCTGACCTGTAGAATTAGCAGCTCAGCAATAGAGGTGCTACTTGAAACCTGTAGACAATATACGATAGAGAACAGAAGGAGGAGCTGATATAAAGACCAAACTGTTAACTGAAGACAACCTACTGAGAAGTATGAGTATATGCAGACACGTTCTCTTTTCAAAAAAAAAGGGTGATTGCAAAGCAGTTAATGTAAACTCAGAGTTATCATAGACAAAAACCAGAAAAGGGAGACTTCAGCAGCTTTTAAAAAAAAATTCATTCTTAAGATAAGATGGAGCTTTTGAAATCTCTAAACCTCTGATGCTGACTCATCGTTTTTCTGCTCAACCCAGCTTCTTCCTTCCAGTTTCAAAGCCATATAAATAATGTCTCACAATGAGGCCTGGCCAATCAGCACAAACGGGCACCTCTCTCTCTCTCTCTCTCCCAGATGCAGCCTAAGGTTACAGTGTTGACTCACCTGGCGCTAAAGACGAGGAGATTAAAAGCAAATTCTCTTACTTTGTGACACCCCACCCAGGGACTAAGGATATGAGTGTAGTTTTTGTGTTGTGTGTGCAAAGTCTATTGATTTACCCTCAGTGAGCAATTTTACCAGTTGACTCCCAGAACAATTCAAGTATTTGTTTTTGGCATCGAGCTGGCAGTACATGTGACTGTTCAGATTTTCAACACAATAAATAAATTTCTGGCCACAATCAATATTTCTGAACCTCACTGGTGCAGATGGTTTCCTGTCTGCTGTGGGCCATTGGTTTAGTCCAATGCCCTCTCCAGACTAGACGTTTTATCTGATCGATATCAATAACAACTGGTCCATAGGTCATTCGGGTATATTTAAGATAGGACGGAGGATACAAAAAGGCAGTATTTTATCTGTCAAAGGTGAAGGGGAGTGCCAGAGTGACAAAAGCCTGACTTCATCCTGCTCACATGTGCCTTTGCTGGGTTCAGAAATGCACAGGAAGCCGTGAAGTAGAGAATCTGCAAGTTAATTCAGACTTTAACATAGTGTTTCAGAGATAGTAGGAACTGCAGATGCTGGAGAATCTGAGATAACAAGGTGTACAGCTGGACCCTTCTCGAAACGTCAGCCTTCCTGCTCCTCTGATGCTGCTCGGCCTGCTGTGTTCATCCAGCTCTACACCTTGTTATCTCTTTAACATAGTGTATGGGTTTCGCGAGCTGGGTGAACTATCCAGGGTTGGGGCAGGGCGTGGGGAGG